TGGGGAAGGTACCCCTAGACTAGTGGGTGTTTGTCCTTTCAGTTTTCCTTTCCAAGTCGAGCCGTGAACCCGTGGACTGGCGCCCCTGGCTTCCCTTGCCGTTGGGATGCGCCCAAAATTGGCGCAGGGGTTCTGAAAGGAGGCATGACATATTTGGGTCTCAAGACTCGAAAACCCCCTGGTTTGGGTGGGTGGTTCAAGGGAAAGTGGAGGACACCGGCCGTTTTGGAGGTTCACTTCTTTTGAGTTCACACAAACAGTTTTTGGTTTGGCTCACAGTTGGGGGCCTGAAGCGTCAACAGCTGATTTAGCCACCCATATTCAAGCCACAAGCCATGACGAATGGTTTCTTTAACCAGTTGGGATGGATGAAGCCCTACAAAGACTGGGATAGAACCACCTACCAACCGGTGCCCAATTTGTCCATCGGAAGGGATGGCCAACAATGGTATCAAGGATTACTTCTGCTTTGGTGGTAACCGCTTTCTGATGTCCATGTTAACTTCCAGAGCTTGACCATTTAACTGGGACCCTCCAACGAACCTAACATACAAGCCCACATAGCCACATAGCGCTTGTTTTTCGGGGTATTTGGAGACGGGTGTCCATTTTTTGTGGCAGGTCTTCCCCTGCATGGATGGACAAATGTTTCCCGATTCAGCCGAGGCGACTTCAACAAATGGCTCCTTGGCAGACGGGGGACCACTTTGGGCCAGGGGGCTAATTTGGTTTAAGCCGCCATCTGGTTCTTCATGGCCTTCCATAAAAGGAGAGCGTTTGAACAAGGCCTCATTTGCTTCTTTATTGCTAGTATTACTCTTCGCATCTTGATTAGTGTGACTGTTGACTTCCATCATTCTTTTCGGAGTTGAAGCAAGGGACCCAGGACCACTCTTGAGACTCTGGATGGTGCTTTCCTCCTCCACTGCTGAGAGAAGGGATTTTTGGGAGGGAATCCACTCGTGTTCTTCAGTCAACTTTTCTCAGCTCCTCCGAGACCCCTCCCAGAGTGGCGCTGTCAATGGAGTTCATCTGCAAAATCCAGTGACCCCTGCTTTAAGCCGGGTCCCCCAATTCGCCGTGGCGGAAGGGGAGATCCACCCTTTTCGGCCAGCTCAAACAGCCCCTTTGGCCCATACATATGTGTGCCTGTTCTTTTGGGGGATGAGCAACCCGGTGCCACGAATCTAAACCAAGGATACACTATATAATCACTGCTTGGATGTTCGGCCAAGTTAGTAGGTGGTTGGCCACCTGAAGGTTAACTCCACTAAAGGGGACTAATGAGCAGGTTATAGCTTAGGTTACTAATAACTTGGTAGCTTGGCCGAACAGCCCAGTACAAAGCGACTATACAAGGGGCATATGCCATTTTTTTCCTTGTGGAGGAAACGAGCTGCGCTCGCACCTTTGTAGTGTTGGACATTTGCGAGAACTGAATATTAATCCGTGCACGGGCGAGCCAGTCTGACATGACATCCAACCAGACCCTGCCGGTGTCAAATTGGAAGAGTTTCCTGTGAACGACATCAGTGGGAAGAAAGCGTCCTAGACTATGTCTGGAATACTTTGGTGGGTTTGTTTGGCAACAAGTTGTCCCCCCAACCCGTGCTGGCCTTGTTTGTCAGCCCTGGAATGGCTGTGCAAATCGACCGCAAAGTCACCCCTAAGAACAGAACGTTTGTTCTTCTTCGGTCCAGCCCTTGGCTCAAGTGAGGAAGTTCTACTACGGCACCTTGCACAAGCCCTGAGAAAGAGCGCGTGAGAGAACGCGAGCTGCCGGTGGGTGCCGTCGTTTTTTTAGAACGTCTCAATCTGAGTCCGGGCCCATCTGAACCTGGAGCGAGGTTCCGCGCGTTTCACTCCTCAGCTGCACTGGCCACAAGTTGACAGCGACAAAAGCAACGTGTCCACGGGGTTCGGTTGGTATGGCACCTGACAGGGGGCCTCGGTCAAGAGGAAAATGATATGCTGCAGGTGCCCTCCCTCAAGTGCCTTCTGTGGGAGGGTAGGTGCCCCTTACCCAAACTCCTCTTTGTCAACTCTTTCCATGCGATGATGGGTTTGACAAGGGCAATTGCAAAGGTCACCCTCACTAGCTGAGAAGGTTCCCTTATTTCAAAAGCATTTGGCCAGACGAGATCGACTTTTGGGGCAGTTTCCTTTTTGGGGACCCCTGCCATTTCTCCCCAAAACCTCCCAACCCGTTGGCAAAAAAAGGCGCTACTTCCGGAAGTAAACACTTCCTTTGGCCCCTGCAGCGAGGAAGTGCTGTAGATCTTGGGTGGTTATCCTGGAAGATTTGGAGGTGCTTGGCCACTCAAGGTCGATCACCCATACTTTTCGATGGTTGCGAAATCCATGTGGCACCACTTTGAAACCATGGTTGAAGCCATTCTAGGCTGGTATTTACAGGGGAATCCTCATTCTAGGGTTTCTTAGGTGGTTTCTTAGGTGGTGCGAAGCCATTGTTGGTTGGTATTTACGTTGGGGAATCGAATCATGCCAGGGCTTAGGTCATACTTCTCCCTCCAAAGAGCTGGGACAGCCCAATGTAGATCCAGGCAAGTCCACCTGCAAAGGCGAAAAAGAGGATGCGGGGAGAGCGGGGAGAGCGTGCGGACCCTAAACATGCGCACACGCACACACACACACACGGAGGTACACACACCTGTATATATATATACACACACGTATATGCACATATATATATATATATATGGTCACCCCCCCCCCCTGCATGAGCTACCGTTGTCTTTCAAAAAGTCGTTGGGGACCATTAGCAGACAATAAAAAAGTGAAAAACACCTGTTTTTTTATGCTTTTTTTAGCTAAAAAGGTAGGTCATGCAGGGGGGGGGTGAGCATATATATATATATATATATATGGTACCCCCCCAAACCCAAAAAACACTCAAAAACAGGAGGGAAAAGCTGAGACATCGAAGAAAAAGCATGGTCTTCTGGAAGAGGAAAAACCAAGGTTCTATGGAAGTGAAAGAAACCAAGATCTTTGGTGGAAGGGCTCCAAACCAGAAAAAATCAGAAAAACTAGAAAAAAACAAAAAACCAGGGTCCTCCAGAAGAAGGGTGCCCTCCATCATCTATCTCCTAGACCCTGGTTTTTTGGTTTTTCTGGTTTGGGGCCCTTCTTAATGAGGCCCCTGTTTTTTTTCCCTGTTTTTTTTTCTTCTGGTTTTTCTGGTTTGGGGCCCTTCTTCATGAGGCCCCTGGTTTTTTGGTTTGCCTGGTTTTTCTGGTTTATCTGTTCCCCCCCCCCTTTTTTTCTTTTTTTTTCTGGTTTGCTTCATGAGGACCCTAGTTATTGTGGGTTTTTGTTGTTTGAAGGGATAGATTTGAACAACCCAACAAAACTCAGGGCAAACCAAACAACAGAACACGGGCAGACCAAACCCACTTGGCAAAAACCGACACTTCTCCTCTGGGTTGTGTTTTGTTGTTTTCTCGAGTTGTGTTTCTTGGCATATCCATAATTTGGGCAGGTTTGGTAGTGCCATGATTGATTGAGCCTTCTTGGAGCCACAGTGAACGGGTGTGACCAGTGAACTAGATGTTCAATGTTAAGTTGAAATTCAACACTCCTTTTCAAGCTCCTGATGCAGCTCTGTTGAAGCTGGTCCAGCTCCTTGTCACACTCGTTTTGAGGCTCTTTGTACAAGGCTCCGTATAAAACTCCTCATAAGGCTCCTGTAAAGCCGCTTGTCGGACTCCTTTTGAAGCTCCTTATACAGCTCTTCTATGTCATGGCTCCATATAAGGATCGCAGTATAAAAGCTGCTTGCAAAGCTCCTTTTGAAGCTCACTTGGGTGCTTATAAGACTGCTTGAATGAAGCTTCAAATTAAGCTCCTTACATGACTCATCATACAGCTCTGTTTAAGGCTCCTTAAAGACTCCTTGTACAATTTCTTGCACAAATGCTTGTACAGCTCCTTTTAAGGCTCATGATAAGCTCTTTACAAGGGTCATTGCAAGCTCCTTATACAGCTTATAACGCACATGTTATAGTTCTTATAAAGCTCCTTATACTCCTTGAACAGCTGCTTGTGGGGCTCCAGGTACAGCTCTTGTTGAAGCTCTGTAACAAGAACTCCATATAAGGCTCCTTATACCAAATTGGACTCCAATTGAGGTTTAATCAGTGTTCACAGGAAGAAAGGATTCCTATGTTGAATGAGAATGGAAAGGAGAAGTCCTTTCCATATGTGATGTGAAACTAACATTAACTAGCAGAGTGTGCAAATAATTTAATAGGGCACGAGTTTCATTAGACTTCCATCTTCAGTTGGAAACTGAGTAAAGCGTCCTGTCCATGAATAGAACTTAGCAAGGGAATAGTTCGAATATATTTGCTGTATCAATTAAATAAGATTTAAACCGACATCCAGTTAGAATTGTAATAGAATTGAAGAACAAAACATGCGCGGTTGAATGGCTATTCTAACCGAGGATTAAAGTAGGAAGTGCCTTTCACATCGGCCTTTAATCAAGGATAGTTGCTATGTAAATGGAATTCGAATGTCTACTTTGATTGCTAATTTTGAGTAGGAAATCCTTTCCAAAGAGGACTTTAATCAAAGTTAATTGCAGTTTGGCAAGCACGTGGAAAGGTAATGGATAGTAGTGGAGCAGATTTGGAAAGGTGGAAGATGGCAAATGAGTGTGCAAAGCTATGGTAGCTTTTGAGTGGACTTGCAAAAATGGAAGATGTGCAAAGGAGGAAAAGTGGATCATGGGTGGGGTGTGAGAATACATATGTATATATGTATATATTTATAGCAAGTGCTTGGGTCCTGGGGGGTCCGGGGGGGGGGGGTGTAGCATATTTCTATATATATATACACACATACATAGACACAGCTAACACACACACACACAGACCTGCATGCGTAGCAAACATGTGTATATGCACATGTACACAGAATAGAAGTATTGATCAGACCACGAGCGCAAAGGCGCTCGGGGCGCGCTCTGATCTCAGGAGCTGCGCGGCCCTGAGCAGCGGACCACAGTTCTGGAGGCGGGGTCCAGGAGGTCCTGTGGTTCAGCAACCAAATTGGGCGGCTCGTCTTTTCTTTGCGAATCGGACCCCGCAAAATGAAATTCGGTTTCCCTTCCAAACCACAAAAAAGGGGTACGCTCAAAACAAAACACACCCAGGTGCTGTTTTGGTTCTTGTTGGTTTTACTCCCCCAATGTAGGGAAGGAACCCAAAAAGCGGTCCCCCAATGGAGATTCCGATCCAACAAAAATGTTGTTTCTGCTCCATGTGAAACTGTAAAGGAGTATGTATCTGCTTTTGAGCCACCTCACATCAGTTGGTTGTCAAGCGTGGCGCAACAGGGGGCCCTATGGGGTCCCTTGATTTTTTTCGGAAGGGACCCAGCGGGGTTGGGGCCATAAATACCAAGCATTCTCAACCACACCATGGTAAACCACTGTAAATTTGAAGGTTTACTCGTTCCCATGCAATATGGCAAAGGATCCACCGTCCTCTCCCCCAAATCAGACGCCCCAGGCGAACCCCACGTTTTTTTTTCCGGATGCGCCGAACTACGCGGAGTTTCCTCGCCGCGGATTTCGCAGGCGCCGGACGAGGAGTTCGAGAACCCGCTGCGCACGCCGGGGATTGAGGCGCAAAAGGGTGCGGGGAGTCGTGCTCTACACCTCAGAAATGTTTGACCTACTAAGAGCCCTGATCTAGAAACCAAGGATTGGGCTCCATTTTGGCTCCATTTGAACCCTTTACCGCACATGTTTCCTCCGAGAGTGGTCGAAACAAATTTGACAATAGTCTATGGTGCATGTGGGAGGGACGAGAAGGGGGACGAGCTCTAAATTTGCCCACAAATGAGGTTTGGTCAACAGTTCCAGCATTTGGGGGGACGAGAAGGTGGACGAGCCAAATTTCAACAGGGGACTCACTGGTTTTCCTATGTCCTCGAGGGACTCACGCAATTTTTACCCCTGATTCATAAATCCCCCCGCTTATTACTATTGCATCAACCATTGGCGTTTATTTGGGGGCCAACATGAGGGACAACTCTTCGTTTTTCGGACCGGTGCAAGCGTCTAGGCGGAGAACGTGCACAAGGTCTACGACGCCATCGCCAGCCATTGGAACCATACGCCAGGAGCCCCACGTGCCGGGAGGGAGGTCTCAGGGTACGGCCAAAATTTTTGTTGGGAGGCCGACTCCCTCTTACCTCTTAAAAACACAACTTCTCAACTTGTTGGGTAACATGGGCTATATGTCTGTAAAAGATTAACTTCCCCAGGGCTTGGAGTTTTAAGGGGTAAGCCCTATTGCGCAGGGAACAAGGAAGCCGATTCTCGACTTTACCGCCTGGTGCCATGGTGTTTGGAGTCTGGTCGGCATATTTGCGCAACGTGGCAGGGGCCTCCGCTGTAGTCGAAAAGTGGTTCTGGTTCCCTGGACATGGTGTGAGTTTTCACCGAGGACCCCGGTAGCGGACATTTACGTGGGCATTTATGTCCAACCACTGGAGTCACGTGCTCAAAACCGATTCGGGTAGATGAAGGTTAGTAGGGGGACAATCCCCTTGCCAGAAATTTGTTGCGGATATCCGCCTTCTTAATTCTTTACATGGTTCTGGGGTTAAGACCATTTTAGTACCGGGTTTTGATTGTGACTCACTTGGGGCTCCTACAGAATTTCAAAGGCGAATGGTTGATTCTTTAGATTGCAAGCACGGAACGAGCTGGACCCCCCCGCAATATCGAATGTTCTTGGACTTGCAACGGGGTTGCTTCGAGCCTCAAAACAATGAACCTCAAAACTAATGAACAAACCACAAGGGTACTGTCAACTTCAGACAAAACAAAGGACCATACTAATCAGAGGAATAGATGGACAAACCTCTTAGTAGGCGGGGCCTTCTAATGCGTTCACACAACAAGGAATCCCAGTTTTATTTGTTTCCTTTGGCTTCCTTTGGACTGTCTTTGGTTTTGATTGTTGGCAAACAAAGACAAACCCTTAACCCCTCCTTTGATGTACATTAAAAAACCTTTGATGTGGGTGTGTGTCAAAGGGCTACCCCAAAGATTGCGATTTTCATTTTTAACGGTTTCCCTTTCAACCAACCCCAAAAAGCGGACCCTAAAAAACCAGGCACGCCCGTATGGGTACGGGTCAAAAACACAACCGTATTGCCCTTTTACCCTTTTTTGGGGGAGAGTTCCCCCACTAAAATAGAGTACAGGAAAAAAAAATCGGGCACCCTTGGCACCCTTATTCTAACCGCTCTACTGGAGGACCTGGCATAGCAAGGTGCCGTTTTGGTACCGTCTCTTTGCCTCCTGGGTACGTCTTAAAGTGGGTGTCCCTTTCTCGGGTTTGAGCCGAATCCTTTAGGCGGTACAAAGCCTGGCCCAAGGTCGAGGCCGGGAACCGAGCGCGTAGAGTGCCCTTTGCTCATTTCATTCTTGTATGTTTTTGTTTTTCTTTATTCTTATGATTTGTATTTCGTCGTTTATTTGTTCACGTATTGACTTGACTTTTTGTTTATTCAGTTGTCTATTCGTTCTGATGGTTTATATACACTTTTCATGTAGATTTTCGTTCATTCGTTCGTTCGTTCGTTCCTTCCTTCCTTCCTTCCTTCCATCCATTTTATTTGTTTATTTGTCTATTTATTCATTCGTTCCTGCGTTTGTCCGTCCGTTCATTCATTTTCCAGCCGTCTATTTGTCTGGGTTCTGAAGGGTTCCACAAGGTCAGAGTATGGAGTCCTCGAACCTTCCATGAGCGGCTTCCGGTTGACAGGGGGTCTGGGGACTGTTGGGGGTGCCACCTGAGTCACAATCAAAACCGATTCGGGTAGATGAAGGTTAGTAAGGGGCAATCCCCTTGCCAGAAATAGCTGCGGATATCCGCCTTCTTAATTCTTTACATGGTTCTGGGGTTAAGACCATTTTAGTACCGGGTTTCATTGTGACTCACCTGGGCCTACACTTTCTTCTCTTTGGTTTTGTTTTTGAAGTTTGATGAGTTTTTATGTACGCACAAAGCCCTCAGAATGCTGCTGCTGATGGCTTAAAACATACCAAGGACCTCAGGGAGTGGAGGGGAACATCAGGGAACTTTCTTTGAATGTTTTGGGTGGGTTTTAAAGTTTACGCGAAAAGACACCCCGATGTTTTCAAAGGAGGAACCATCTTCAAGAAACAAGGGTTACACGGGGCACTTGGAGGCCTGGCAAGTCACGATCCCAGTGTTGGGGTCAGGGGAGCGGCAACCACCGCCTTTTGACCCTTCGGCTAAGGACTGTAGCTGTGGATAATATGGGTATAGGACTAATTTCTGTACAGTAGCCATGGGAATTTCACTCAGAGATGAGCCTAGCCCCCACGCCATTGGAAGCAGGTTGAGTTGAATCCTTCTGGGCATTTCTCGCAAGGCGCCGAAACCCCAAAACGTAGGTGGATTCGTTTTGCTCACCTTGAAAACTATCCAACAACTGGAGAACCAGAGCCTTGCTTGTTGTTAGGGAATCTGAGAGTGAACCTCCTAACTATTCCCTAGGACCCACAAGTGGTTGGTAAGGAGTCATTCCCAAATTCCCTACTAACAAGCAAGAATATGGGTGCGTGCCAAAATAGAGGGTCGTTTTCCTTTTGTTTCCCCTCGAAATCACCCCCAAAAGGGTACCAACTCAACACACATCCAGACCCATATGGGTGCGTCCCTTTGAGGGACCCCTCCAACACGACGGCTTGCCTTTTGCTTTTGCTCCAAACGTACTCCAAATGGGGCACCAGCCCCCATAAGGCAAACCCGCGACGTATGCCGTGGCCTTCGTGTGGTGAGGCCTTCGTGCTGTCGCTGCCCAAGGGCTCGCTAGTGGCGGACCTGGGCTGCGGCCGCTGGGCCAAGAATTCTGGGGGCCCTTTGGTGGACATCAGCTACCTTTCCTCCCGCTCACATGACACCTGTGGCAGGGTACCTGGAAGATCACTTGTCTTTTGGGGGGCACGTGTCAGGTGCCATGCTTGGATTTGCGTCTCAGTCACAGTCATCCATCCATCGCTTGGGTTTCTTTTCATTCCCCGATGCCAGGGGGGTCTATCATAAAATCATACTTCCAGCAGTATTGTGCTTAGTGGGTAAGAACCATGGTGAGATAACCCACTTCATTGCCATGGTCATACAAATCTCAGTTCAGTGGGTTATGTCGCCAGGCTTACTAAGCAACCGCTTGCCTGACGCACCGAATCACTCGTTGCTTTGGCTGGGGTCAGTAGTTGGACGTTTGACGGTTTCTGGGGGTCAAAGTCAGACCATGGGGGCCAGCTTCCCTTTAAGCCACTTAGGGGCTTTGATGATGGCAAAAGAATGAGTCCGGCAATTTGAGGGCAGCGGCTTCGGTCGAGGGTGGTGCTGAAAAAAGGGGCAATGGAGATCAATCGAGGCGATCAATTCGGTGCGTCAGGTCAGTGCTTGTAGCAACTCCATGGTGAGAGAACCCACAAATGCCATTGTGATGAGTCTCCGTTGAGCGGGTTATATCCAGGCTTACGCACCACTAAGTACTCGATTGTCCCTTTAAGAGTGCGCTCGCCTTTCGTGGGGGATTGTAGTGGCTTCGATCTTTTCCTTTGGGTGTTCCTTTCAAGGGTACCCTCAAAAAAAATGACACACCCAGAATGTGGAAACAGAGCCCCGTCCTATTAGGGGCGTTGGGCCCCTCCAAAAGTGTTTGGACTCCCTGCTGAAAGGGGACACCTCCAAGGGTTTGAGGCTGCTCAGGAGGAAGCGCGCTTAAATCTCACGAGTCGAACTCCCTCAATTCTCACGAGTCCAATCTACTCATTTCTCACAATTTGTTTTTCGCGGTTTCCGCCGTATTTTGAGCTGCTCATCTATCCCGTCCTGAAACCCAAAACCGAAACCCTCAAAACCCTTAAAACCGAAAACTCTAAAACCGTAAGCCCTACAACCCAAAACCCCCCCAAAAATGCATTCCCCGAAATCGGAGACCTAAACCCTAAACACCCTAAACCCTAAACCCTAAACACCCTAAACCCTAAACCTTAAAGTCCTTAAACCCTAAACTAAACCCTAAACCCTAAACCCAAAACCCTGAAAACCTAAACCAATTACTAATTACATTTAAAAAAGTTAAAGCCAAAAGCGGTTGTCACATGCCGGTCTATCGTCGGGGCTTCTTCAAGCTTTCTTTTAAGTTCTGCGCGTGTCTCGCGCGCTTTCGGGCTGGGGTGTACGAATGCCGTTGCAGAAGCTGGCGTGGCCGCACGGAGAAGAAGCTCCTGAAGAAGCTGAACACAATGCAGCCTTGTTTGGAAGTATTGGTCTAAGCTTGATGCGGGCGGCGCAGGCCCAGGACATGTTGCCCGCGCTGTGCGTCTTGCGCCCCGCGCGCGCAGGACAGCCTGAGCTCTGTCCTGCCCGCTCTAGGCCAAGTTTGGCTTCCCGGGCCCGTCGTTGTGCTGGGGATGCAGCAAATGCGGCATCGCTGCCTTGGCAGTTTGTGCATGTGCATATATATATATATATATGTATATATGTATAGCTTGAGAACTCTTACTGGTTTGACACGTTTTTCCCTAGCTTGCCCCCCGCCGCCCGCTTTCCGCAGGAGGCTGGCCGGAAAGGTCCGCGCCAGCCTCGTCTTCTACTGGGGGATGCCGCGCGTGGACAGGCGCCTCATTTTTTTCGACTCGCCACGAAGCTTTGTTTTTCCGAGGCTTGCCCAGCACTCTGCCCTGGCCGAAACCGCGGCTCTCATCGCACACCGGGCCGGGCGCGACTTCCCCCCGGCAAATTGGCAGGCTTTGGCCTTGCTTTGCAAGTTCGTGGGTTCTCTCAGGCTTGGGGCGTTGCGAGCGAGCGGCTTTAGAGCGGCGGCGACGCGATTCGCCAGGTTTTGAAGAACGACCGGCGGCAGACCGAAATCAAGACGTTGTCCTCTCTGGAGAGGACTGACGCGCGAGTTTCTGCTCGCGCCTGCTCCGTTACAGCCAGGAGTCGACTGTGCTGAGGGCGGCGCCGCCGGCTAGCGCGAGCTTGAGCGCGAGAGCCGGGCGAGCGAACGGGAAAGAATATAGGTTTTCGAGAATATTTAGAACGCGTTTTGACCTGGGCGAGTTCGGACACCCGCGCTGACTCAAAGTTTTTTCGCCAAAGAATTAAACCATTCTACAAAAACAATGTCAGAAACAAATGCAAAAAAGCAAAGAAGCCGCGATTGAGCGCGTCGAAGTTTGCAAAGCTAGGCAAAATGAGTTCGACTTGTTTCTAAAATAATGATTTAACTTAGATTAGCCCGCGCGTGTTTCAGTTTGGAAAAATCGTCGGTTTTCGCGAATGAACATGATTTGGGCTTGCGGGGCTTGATGTTTTGATTTTTTCCCGCCGGGAACGCGCCGCGCCTGCAGCGAAATCTGCGTGCGACCTTGCGAAATCTGCGCCGCGATTTGTGATATTGCTTCGATCGAGAATCAGGCAACTGGAAGTAGATGTGTATATATATAGGTATGCGTATTTGTGAATTTTGCTCAGAAACCGTTGAACTGTTCCAAGAAATGAGTATATTCGGTGATTTGAGTGTTTGACAATTGAACTCTTCTAGCGTGACTAAAGCTGAATAGTCTAGCCAAAGCAATAAAAATGAAAAAGTGTCTTTCTGTTCAAAGGGTTTTCGACTAATTCGAACTGGCAACGTAGAGCCGGCAAAGCCGGCGGTCGGAATTTCCAGAAACACGAAAGCCATGATTCTCTTCCCTTTCCCTTGTCTCTTTCTCTTCCTCGTTCTTTTTATTTTCTCTTGTCTTTCTCTCTCTCTCTCTCTCTGTCTCTCTCTCTCTCTGTCTCTCTCTCTCTCTCTGTCTCTCTGTCTCTCTCTCTCTCTGTCTCTCTCTCTCTCTCTCTCTCTCTCTCTCTCTCTCTCTCTCTCTCTCTCTCTCTCTCTCTCTCTCTCTCTCTCTCTCTCTCTCTCTCTCTCTCTCTCTCTCTCTCTCTCTCTCTCTCTCTCTCTTCTGTCTCTCTTGAGCTTCTTTCTCTTCGTTTTTGGTTTTCAGCTATTCAATCAGGGGGTCTTCAATTAGGGGTGCTAGGCCCAAATCCGGTTTGCCAATTTTTCAAAGTTTTTGCCAGAGTTTGCAAACATGCCAAAACAACATGCATGGTTTGCCGTGAGCCATGATTTAAGTTGATCAGTCACGTGCGATGCAACATGTGTGTGGCAAGATTCATATGGCGCAGACGTGCAAACAACCCACATGTGCACATGACATGAATTGACTTGCACATTACCATGACATAGCTTGCGCCATGGTGACTTAAATTTCTTGCAAACACGCAAGCAAAAGTTGAGCAAGCATTAACAAAGTCATGTGCGCATAGACACAGCTTATCACAACATGCTTGCAGCAGTGAAATGTTCATCTTCAATTTCATCTTACTGGACTCTGCCCCATTCAACTTCGATTGCTGAACTGATCGCAACTATTATAGCTCAAGTTTGTCAAGGCGCCAAGCCACTCCAAATATCACTACCATTGCATCAGCAAGTCAGTGGGGATGCTTCGCTCGTTAGATACTAAGACAAGCAGGAGCGCGCTGCCCTTTTTTTTCTCGTGGCAGTGCATGGATTGACGGTGAGTTGCCACAAGATTTGTGGAGCGCTCCTCTCCTTTTCTTATCTTGGCAGTGCATGGGTTCATGGTCAATTGCCACAATGGTTATTGTGCAGTTTGCGCCCAGCCGGCATCTAAAAGCAGAAGATTTTCCTCTGCTCGTCGGCTTTGCCGTTGCCGCGTTCGGCTTGTTGATTTGCGCTGGCCGCATGTATAGGCTGGTTCTTGGTGGCGGGCCCTGGGTGGGTGGGATTGAGATCGAATCTTTTGATAGACTTTGCTTTGAAAACTTCCACGTCTTAAGTCCTGTGAACCTTAAACCCTAAACCCTAAACAACCCTAAACTTAAACCTCAATAACGAAAGCTAAACCAAACCCTAAACCCGAAAGCCTAAACCCTAAAAACACTAAACCCTAGGCACCCCACCTAACTCGAAACCATAAACCCTAAACCCGAAGCCTCAATCTAAAAACCCTACACCCTAAACCCCCTAAACCCAAAACCCCAAAACCTTTCGACCCTGAAAACCCTAAAGCTAAACCCTAAAGGCCTAAACCGTGGAAACCCAAAGCCCTCAACCCTACATCCGAAACCCTAAAGTCTAAACCCAAAGCTTAAACCCTAAAGAAACACTAAACCCTAGAAACCCCACCTCAAAACCCTAAACCCTAAACCCTAAACCCTAAACCCGAAGGTTCAACCCCAAAAAACCCTAAACCCTAAAATCCCAAAACCTGCGCCCTAAAAATCCTAACCCCGCCAAGCCTAAACCCTAAAAGCCTTAAAACTAAAACCCTAAAAACCGGACACCTAAAACCTTGAATCCCCAAAGCCCTAAAAACCCTAAAAACTGTAAACCAGCAAAACTCGAAACCAACAATGCCTAGGTGTAAACCCTAACAGCCCTGAACCTAAACCCAAAAAGCACTAAAGTTCCTCAACCCTGAACTCACTCAATTCTCACGAGTCCAACCCGGGTTTTGACCAGCGTTCTTTGTGGCAATTTTGAAAAACGTGCAAATAACGGCACATTTGACTTGTGAGAATTGAGTGAAATGAGCGACGTGTTTGAGGAGAGCGGTCCTTGCATGTCCAAAACCGATCTAGGAAGTCGAAGGATGTGAAAGCTAAAGGAATTAGAGTGTGGACATCCCTTGGTTTTGGGTTCCTTTCTTCTTGGGGACTTGGTCTGACCGAGGCCAAGGGCGTTTGGTGGGGCAATTGCCACAATTTCCACCTGGTTCGGCAAGGAATTTCGAATGGGAGGAGCCTTGTAAATGATGTCCTCCAACGAGGCCAAACAGATTCATACCAATTTGGGGATCTTTTTCGAAAGTATTTCACAGCTTGAGGTTCACTATGGACCAGAATCAAGCAGCTGATTTTTGGGCAAAAGCTGAAACATCTGATTTGATTTGATTGTCATCAGCAAGTGCCAGTTGGGACCTGAGGCAACGGCAAGAACTTGCCAGGAAGCCCAGCGCTGCGTAGAGGGGTGCGCGCTGGGGTTGGGAGCCTGGCGGCTTGACTTTGGGCCTTTTTGAGTTTTTTTTTTTTATATTTAAATAAACGAACAAATGCACCGTTTTGTAACCAAAAAGATGGAGACATGGAGACGTCGAAAAAACCAATGTGGACTCACTGTGGTTTGGTCTCAATATAAGGACCCCCCGCCAAAAAAACAAGAGAAAAAGGTTTACCTGTGGTCTCCCTTAAGCCAACCCCGAAAAAGGGAACCCTAGAAGGAGGACACAACCGAGTGATACCTTGGAAACTCATGGCGTAGGCGTTCCACGCCAACCATTTGGAGGTTTTATCACCCCTTGTCCCCCAACCACTTTTGGAAGGCCATTTTGCGAAAGGTCATGCCTTTGGTGGTTGGTTATCCCTCCCCAAACAAAAAAGGACAGAGCCCTGGTAAGCAAGCTGACCAACACTCAAACAATATTAAGTATGCAGTGGTGTGTTTGTGAAACAAAAACAATGGGCCTAGCAATTGTCATGTTTCAGAATTAGAGAGTGGTTGGCTGCTCGAACCTTTGCCGCTGTTTTCGGAGTGGGTTGGAGCGCCTGAGGCCCCATGCCAAGGCCGCAGGGTGCTTCCCCATCGCCAGCGCTGGACACTCAGAACTAGTCATACCCCCCCAAAAAAGGGCAAAAGGGCACCACTGGTGGAACTCCTATTTTGGGGCAACAAAAGAGGCGTTGTAGGAAATGGCCGTACTAGGTCAGAGGGAAGTAATGCTTCTAACGTGGTTTGGGTGGACCCCTAGTGGGTTGCTTCCTTTCCTTTTTCGTTTGGAGGAGTTCCGCCTGAAAACTTCAACCTTCGACGACCACTACGGTGCCATTTCTTCCCAAAGCCGCTGGGGGTCATAGGAATAAGACCCCCTACTCGGCCAACTTAGTAACCTAAGCTATAACCTGCTTCTCCTAAGTGGAGGGAATCGTGTCATTCGTCCAAGTAAAGGGGTGTTGGGCTGTTGGGGAAATGCGGTACCGAAGTTGCCACTTTCCGGGGTTGCAATCATGGAAGCCCTCCCCCCTCCTCCTTTTCTTGGACCACCCGTCACCTTTCGCCTGTCCAGGGTTCCCGACAGCTTGCTGGGTGTGTCTCAAACTTAGGGGACCCCCAAACATGATTGTTCTTTTTCCGGCTTCCCTTTAAAAGCAACCAAAAATGGGGACCGAGCCTCAACAAACAGACGCACTCAGATCACCACCACCCCTCCCCCTTTGGCGCTGGCGCCCCCTCCCCCCCAAAGCATTCAGGACATCAGCGCGCCTTTGGCGCGGATCGCAGCGGAGGACCAGCTCAGTGTTGGCCATTTGCTCGGTATCGGGATTGTCCTCGGACCGGAGTTTCCGTGGCTGAGCTTTGGTTCGCTTCCGTTTGCTGAAGATCAGGGTTTTTCCATTTTAATTTTCGCCTGCTGATGTGGTTTGAAGGGAAACAACATTTCACCACTGGAACTCTTTTTCTTCTTTTCCGCGGGGGACTTAAGCAAATGGAGGTGGTGGTTTTAGGTTTTATTTTTGGGGAACTTTTGTTCCCCTTGTGGTTCCCCTTATGGTTTGGGTCTTGCAGGTATGAATTGTTTTATGGTCAACGTAAAGGGGTTTGGGGGCAGACACCCTCTTTGGCACCCCATATAAATAGCACCTATTCAGCCCACCTGAAGCCAATCCAGAATTGCTCTAAGTCAACCTGAATCGCATCCTGAACCCCCCCCCCCCCCCCAAACCCCACCTTTGAAACCATGTGGCTGTGGGTCAAAAGTAGGTACCCAAAATGGGTTACCCTGGTAAATGGAAACATGGACTAAAACCTGCAGTCTCCTGGTGGTTTAATTTTGACCCATACCCATGTGTAATGTTGGCTAAAGGGCGGCCCGATTTTTAAGCCACTGCATATCTTTCCCTTCGTCGGAGAGCTTCCGGAGTCGCAGGAGCACGGCACCTGCTGTATGGCCCGGCTGCCGAGCGGGACCCCTTCCACACCAAGGACCCCCTTTTGGGCTCTCCGGGCAAAAAGGGGATGAACGCGGAGGGAGCAGCCTGCTGGTTTAATCAGCCACAAGGGCCATCTATTTCTCCTAAAAGGACACGTATGGAAGGGTCTGGAGGAATCCTACAGGAACTCCTTTTTGATGGAATCTCGAGAGGTGCTGGGAGCTGCGGGGTGGTTGGCGGGGGGGTGGTTTTGGGTGCGTGCAGTTCTGTCGGGCCTCTCACAGGATATGATTGGCCTTCAACAACGCAATGTTGACGGATCAATTAACCTGGTGTATGATGTGGGGTGTGTGACTCCAAGCAGTGCAGGTCCCGCTCTTTTACCAGTTGCGGTTCTTTTAGTGCTATGAGGTCAGTTCAACAATAAGAAACATGTCTGGCAAAACTATGAGGTCAGTTCAAGAATAAGAAACATGTTTGGCAAAGCATTGTCAACTAAAAACTACATGGGGATTCTCTATGTTGCTACATCATCCCTCCGCCTTAGCCAAGCATCCGCTAATCATACCACGGGGTATTCTAAAGTTCTATTTTGCTTGAAAGAACTGCCTGAAGGTTCTTTGAGTGCTCTGAGGTCAGTTCAAGAATAGTACTTTTTTTTGGCAAAGCATTGTCAAACAAGAAACAAACACCTCCCTGTAAAACTACTTCTGAAGAAGAATTGGGTTGTGTCTTACCATGAGGCCAGCTCAAGAAAAAATAAGTCAGGAAAAAGCTACCTCGCCGCAAAAGCTACTCCAGAATATGACTGGGGTTGTGTCTTAACTATCAAGCCAAATTGCAAGCATGGTCAATCTACATAAAACTACATCCCTGTGAGCACTTCGGAATTGCAAAAGCCACTTCTGACTTCGGAATAAGAATGAGCCTTGCTGAAGCGACTTCGGACGACTGGGGTTCAGCCGGGTGGTCTCAATCGAGGTGGCGGACTGCCTGGCCGCGCCTTTGCGCGGCGGCGCCTTCGACGCGGTGCTCTCCATCGCCGCACACCGGGCCGCAGAGGGGGCGTGTCGAGAACCTGGGGTCCGAAAGGTCGAGAACTTGGGGTCAAAAATGGGAACCATAGGGGATAGGGGTGGAGAACTTGGCGTTTGCTTCGGAGGTTTTGTGTTTTTCGTTTTTAAGCATAGGGAGGTTAGGATTTGGGGTTCAGAGTTTAGAGTTTAGGTTTTGTGATTTGCTTCGGAGTGGTCAAGGGACCAGATCGAAATCGATTTGCATTTGAACTGCATTCGGACTTCTCGAAAACTTGGGGGTCCAAATGTCGAAAACTTGGGGTCAACAAAAAAGGGGACCATAGGGGAATGGGGTCAATATCAGTATTTGCTTCGGAGGGGTCAGAAAGAAAGCCATATCTGCATTTGGACGGCATTTTTAAACGCCACATCGAAATAGATTCAAGAAGAGGCTTCTTATGAATTGGTGAGTTACGGCATATGTTGCGTTGTTTCAGAGTATGTTGGTGCTAAGTGTTTTTCCCATGTTGGGGAGAGTCGCGAAGCTTCCTACACAACACAGGGGGCTGTGTTGTTTTTTTCTCATGTCCAAAGGTACGGCAACTTTTGACTCTGGCGTGAGGGCCAATGTCGTGTACTTTGTTTTGGGCGTATTCGTGCTGTACGGGGTATGGGTGTGCAGTGGTTTCCACAATGGGGCTTTGCCCTTGTGGGTGTCCCTTTTGGGGTGATTGAAACGGAGGCAAGTGAACTTTTTGGCAGGTTTCCACTTTTTTGCTTTCCCCAAGGTTGACTTGAACCCAGGGGTAGGTGTGGGAGAAAGAGCAACTGGAAGTTTGGTCAACACATCCCATGTCTATGGTCCATTTGGGAGGCACACGGGACGAGCTTTTCTTGGAACCTGGCACAAGAAGTCCTCGAAACGGGGCCGCGCGAGCCAGTGAGGTGCTGCATCACTTATCTACCCCCGCGCGGCGCGTGCAGGCGCCAGGGCGAGTGGGGATGCACATTCTTCGGCAAAGTTTTCTCGGTCAAGCCCGGGAGTTGACTCGCTCATCAGGGGTTAAGTGAGACAAATGTCGCACATTCTTGAGAACATGGGCATGTCTCCAAACTCGAGGGCTTTCTGACATTGTGTGATCCGATTCGCTCTTGGTTTCCGCTACAAACCAACCAAACCTGAACCAAACCTGGGTTGGGCCGAACGAGGAAGAATGCCCATACGTATGCAGTACGTGTCAAAGCAGGCTTACTAGCACGTACCTGACGTACTCGATCGGCCCCTTTAAGTAGAGGGCAAATGGACCTGGACTCACCGATTCCACCTCCAAACCCGGACTCACCACGATGATCCGGCTAGCCGCCGGACCTACGCAGGCGTTGCGGGAGGGAGCGCCCGGACACTCAGAAGGGGGAGGGAGCTGTCGCCAGAAGGTTCTTTGCGAATACCGAATACCTGTTGGCTTGGGCGGGGGTTTATAAGCGATGGTTTAGATACGCAGCGGGGATGATCAGCGTGATTTTAGGTCGTGCTTCTAAGACTGCCTTGTTCTCCGGAATGCGTGATGAACTTGGTATTGCTTCCAGAGCAGCCGCGAAGAGGGTGCCCTCCGACAAAAAGCACACCCAATCGATGCGACAAGAACATTCCAATGAAGCAGCCTGGTCCATTATTGCCATTGCGGGAAGCTTGGTTTAGGGTTGGCTTTTGTGATACCAGGGGACGGGGAAGGGACGGGGAAGGGACTCAGCTGCCTGAACTAAGCTCTTAGCCCGACACCGTTTCACCCAAACTCGTAGTCCAGCCCGGTCTGGCAGGTTCAATGTACCCCATCAGTTCCAGAGGAGTTTATCAGGGGTTGTGCTTTGGGTGAATTTGAATAACTCACTCACCGAAAATCAAGAAGAATCTCCTATCAGAGGAACCCTCGTCAGCACCTAGAGTGGATGGCTGGATGGCGTATTTCCTTTATTTAGCAGTTTAATACCATGGCTTGTGGGTATTTTCCGGGGCTCGAAAACCGCCTTGTTCTGACTGTAAGACCCCAGTGCTCCAGTTTCGCATACTTCCTTAGAGGGGCAAGACACACCATGACACACCAGGTAAGTGGGTGATGCTGGGATAAGCCCCTCAAAACGGGTTCTAACCTGGGTTGCTGCCCACCAAGTGTCCTCCTGCATTAGGGGACACTTCCACCAGTGAGCTCTAGATCCTTGTTTTTTTCTGGGGGTGTCCTAAAACAGAACGACGATGCCTTTTATTCCCCTCGCCCCAGCAGGTTCTTTTGACCACGAAACCCAAGCAATACCAAAGCAAACCAACCAAAATCAAGTAAGCTGCACAGGGAACAGCCTTGCTGGTGCTTGGCAGGGAATGAGAATTGGAATTTGGTGGTTCGCAGCCATCCCCTTAGCTTTTTAGCCTTTTGGTGTTTAGTGGGGATTTCCATTTCACCCACTAAAAGTTAGTCACTTTGAGCGGGGGATCGGAAAACGGGCCCAGGAAACAGAATCCAACTGCTGGTTTCCTTTCCATTTCTTTTCTTTTCGGGGATCCCAGCGTTCATTCAGAGCACCCGGGTTTCGGAACGGAAGGGTCTCTGGAGCCTTGGAGCCTCGAGGCGGCTGCTGCGCTGCGGGGGGCTCTTCCTGGTCTACTGCTGGAGCTACGAGCCTGGGCCCACGTCTTTTGAAGCATGGTGTCCTGTTTTAAGGGCTAGGTGTTCCAGTGCCCTTCCTTTAACCCTTTTTTGGTTGGGAGGGTTCCCTAAGATAGACTACAGAAAAAATCATCGGGTACCAAATTATTCGCACCTCTCAAATCTGGAGGACCTAGTAGAGGGTCGGTTTTTAAGGGGCAACCAGAATTCGGTGGCTCCCAGAGCCATCCATTTCCTGGGCGTTTTTTTTTTTGAATCCATTTCCTGGGCTAGTTTTTCCACGAAGCCACTGAAAGTTAGACTCTTAGCAGGGGCTTTGAGAACAGCCAAGAGAATATGTTGTAAAGAATAGCGGTTTCTCTCCACGTTTCAACGCTAGTGGCTATGATTCCCCATGTTTTCAGCAATAAATCGTGGTTTTAATATGTTTAGAAGGGGTTGACATATTTCAAACTCGGTTGAACTGCCCAAACCTGCTTGACTTGTTTGACCATGGCTGGAAAAAGGGCTGAGCGATCGACCTCGACCTGGGGGGTTCGACCGTGTCCTTTCTTGAAGCATCCTTCGATTGGGGTGGTTGTTGTTTTTTTTGCCGGGGGTTGGCTTTGTTCCATTCTCTGGTTTGCTTTGTCGGTCCTTTAATTTCAGGTCGCGTGCTTTTGTTTGCCGCTTTCTTGGGGCTTGCTTGGTTGCATGTTTTTTCCTGTTTGGACCAGTTCCCCGATGAATTAACCTGGTGGAATTGCGGGGGTTTCCGCAGTGAAGGATTCCCAGTGACTGTTTTTGGCATGCTGGGTTTTTGCCTTTTTGGTTCTGTTCATTTTTGGTAGGGAGCTGCAAAAAACAAAGTTTTTGGCTATCAGCTGAAATTTCAATTGGGAAAGGTTCGCTCTTGAATGAGACGCTTCCCTCTATGTGACAGGTGGCATTGCGTTTGCCCATCGCGTCTCATCGCTTTGTGAAACCTTCTCTGCGAATCAGATCTCAAATGAATTCCACACTCCTATGAATCAACGAACGAAGGGTGTATAAATCAGCTGGGTTCCCATGGTCAGGGATTTCTATATTTCCCATTTACATTTTACCATTCGGGCCATTCTTTTGTGGAGTTTCCTCCTGGCAAGTGTGAGGTTTTCCAAGCCAGTCTCCGATGCAGGCTTTCGAGCCTTCTAACATTAGGTGCGAAGTGGGATTGCCACTTATTCCTTTATGCTTCCCCAAGAATAAGCAAGAAGGGCGAACACCTGATAAACAGATGTGTGTTTTTTGCGGGGAACCACCCTTACCTCCGAATCTCCAAACCAAATCACCAAAGAAGGGGAGGTTTCCTTTTGAGCCCCTTGTCCTTCTTGGAAACCAAGCCGAATCACCAAAAGCGCGGAGGATTCCTTGCAACCAAAAGGGAGCCCCCAATTTCTCATAGGACGCCCCCCAAACCCGACCCCCCCTCCACCCCCCCCCCTCCCCGGGATGCGCCAGGCAGGACCAGCGCAGCCGCTCGCGGCACCGCTTCGAGGCGCAGGAGCGGGTTCCAGCTCTTTTTCTCGCCAAAAAGGCGAATCGACCTGAAACGACCTTTGGGTTTTCGCATTTTTGGCCCCAAAAGGTCGATTGTTGGCAAGGTTGATTTTTCTGGCAGGTCGAGCAGGTCGAGTTGTTTTTTTGACCTGAAATTTTTGGGCAACCATTCTTAGTCATGACCCCAAAAGCCTTGACCTTTTCTTTTCGGGTCCTTTGGGCAACTGAGATCTAGTTGGTGTTGGTCACCGTTAGTGTGGTTCAGGAATTGCTTCCCATTTACCCTCTACAAGAGTTGGTGGGTGGCCAAGGAGCTGGGGGTATGAGCCAACCAAGGAGCCAAGTTTGACAGGAGTTCTGTGAGGACATGGTAGGTGTGTGTTTTGGTCGGAGTTGGTACCCGTTTTAAAGGGTTAGCTTTCTCCTTTGGCCCTTTGATCTTTCCTTTGGGTGGAACTGTGGCGCGCGGATTTGAGGGCGTTGTGTTTTGCCGGCCTCCTTTTCGCCTTGGTTGAAAGGGAGACCAAAGGGGAAACCACAGTTGTTCGGGTCACCCTGTTTCGACACATAGTGGGTCGCACACTCACTCATCGAGTGCGGTTCCTACACGCGGGCCGTTGGCAAAAGGGCCGTCGTTTTGGCGCGCAATGAAACATCTTGTGAGTGAGTGCCCGCTCGCATGGGCCATTGAAGGTCACTCAAAGTCAGCCAACTCAGCAGACCGAAGCAGCACTTCAAAATCTCCAACTCCGAGCTGGACAGATCACCAACTGCACCGAGATCAGAGCGGTCACTGGATTTACTACAAGACAATGGAGGCCAGTTCTAGTGAAGCTTGACGTGATATGAAGAAAGGGAAACAACATCAACAGAGGATATAAGAAAGAAGGACATAGAAAGCAGAGTTAAAGGCTGCGGTGGATTCAAAGGAAACGGATTAAACAAAGACAACAAAGATCCACTAGACTACAACAAATCACACAAAGGGTCATTCACCTTCCGAGTGCCTCTTCCGAGTGCTCTTGTGGCTATGGATGTTTCTTTTTTAAGGGACCCATGGCACCCCCAGAATGGCGCTTTTCCTTCCTTTTGGTTTTCCCATTAAAGCCAAGCAAAAGAAGGTTCCCCCGCAAAAATGGACGAACCCTTATGGCTCTGAACCGTGGAAGTATCCCGGATGTAACGCGCACGTCTGCTGGTATTCGGCAAGACAGGATCGTGCACATCACACTAAGCCAAGGATCATTTGATTTTTTTTTTTTTTTTTTTAAACTTTGGGTGGGACATATTTATGCCCTCTAGAGTCAAGGGAAATACAACGGTCCCTAATCCCAATATGTTCTTTTGGCAAAGCTGTAAGGGGACACCAAAGAAAGGGCGTTAACTGCATTTGCACGTCCTAATGAGCAGCGATTTAGAGCAGGGGGGCTTTAGACTTTGGACGGCCTGGCGCAACTTTGCATGAAATGGGCCGTGGGCAGATGTGCGCCCGCAAGCCAAGATCTCTCGAAAGGCTTGCTGTGAAAACAGGCGGCAAAATGTTTTTTTCTCGGGTTTGCCCGGGTTTTCGGGGGGCTCAAATGTCCAACTCTCCCATTTGTTTTTTCGACTTTGGACTCCCGAAAAACTCGAAAGCTAAGCCCCGGGGACAGGCGACTTCTTCATATTTCAGCGTCTAAGGTGGTGGGAAGTGCGCTCAGAGAATGTTCGGTTCAATCAATGTCTGGTTGGCATGTTTGCGCATGTCTCAGTGTCCATTGTTGCTACCCGCTGTTCCTTTGTCCCTTTGACCGCAGCCAAAAGGGGGTTCCCTAACAAGACCAAAGACACACCATATTTGTTCAGGTTCCTTTAAAAGTAACCAAACGGAAAGCAACCAAACGGGGTTCCAGAACAAAAAAAGAGACACGCCTCATACTTCTTCAGGTTCCTTCTCTTTTTCTTTTTTCCGCGCCCACCGACCAAAAGCAGAGGCAGGCCCATACTTGTTCAGGTTCCTTCTGTTTTTCCATCCAACCGGAAAAAGAAACAAAGCAACAAAAAAACAAAGAGAAAACAAAAAGCAAACAAACAAACAAAACAAACGAACACAGACAAAACCATCACCGACAAAAAAAGAATCCAACGCGCCGCGCGCCCCGTTGTCTTCGATTGCCCGGCGCCCCTTGCGAACCGAAGCGGCGCGGCGCCCGCTTCCCGGGAGTCAGGACGTCCTGGTGCCCTGGAGCTTCCGCACCCCGGGGGTGAAGAAGGCGCGGCTGAAGCGAAGGATCGAAGCCGCGGCCGGCGTTGTTGGGGGGGTCGGCTGAAAAGGGAAACACATTGGCGGATGGCTTTTGTTGTAGCAATCTATATACGTATGTTGCCATATGCAAATAAAGGTGCATATATATATAATATGCATATGTACGAATCAATATATATATATATTTTGAGGCTGGGTGCCTTTTTTTGGGGTGTGTTCAAAGGGGAATTCAAGGACCCCCCCTTATTTTGAGGTTTCCCCGATCTTCAGACACAACCATTTTGGCCAGGTCGTTGCTGCTCTTTGGCGTGACCAAAAATCGGCTTTTCCATACCTACAAACGGTCCAACCAACCTTTTGTCAGGGGTTTGGAGCAACCCGGGTAGGGGCCCGAAATAACATAAGACTAACTTCCTGAGTTCATAGACTTTGAACTTTTTGGGAAGACCGTTTTAGTGGCCTACAAAAAGTTGGCCCCCCCTTTTTTCTTTTTTTTTTCGGCGCATCAACTCAGGAAGTGAGAAGCTGTTGGTGATTTCCCTCAAGAGGAGGTCAAAAGGAGATCGCAGACCCCGCTGTTTGGGCAGCCTCCAGTCCCCCCGGCCTTGGGGCCTTTTCAAGTCTTGAGAGGACTGTCTCGCACGTCCTTTAGTCAGCTTCCATAATTGTTGAAAACGGCAACGCCAATCCTGCTAACCCCCCGCAAATCATCCAAGTCACTTTCATTATTGGCTGTCTGCTGTTTTGGGAGGACGAGACGGGGGCGCACCAAATTCCCCCCCCCCCCCCCCTACACAAAATAAACTTTCTGAGGTGCCAGCAAAACCGGGACCAATGGACACAACTCTAAGTGGATAAATCGGCCACAAGCCGGGCCAAAGTAGTTGAAGGTGTGCTGAACGAAGCACCGTCTGGAAGATGCCTCCGTTGAACTCACGGAGCGTGAGGACTTGACTGAGCTCGGGAGCAGGCGAAACCGGGTGACCTTAAGACGAAGCATCGCATGTTTGCGCGCCCGTTCAAAGGAAGGTCGCAAGCAAGACGGCATTTAAGATGTCTAAGGTTGGTAGGTGGCTCTGGATTAAACTCTGATGTTGGATGTATCCCTGGATGAAGTTAAACCCGGGTGTGATGTTTGGCGGAAGCCATGGGTTCTCGGTCGCCTTTGGACTCGGTCGCGCGAAAATGCTCGCGTCGAGGCCAAGGACGCAGGCGCGGGCTGCTTTTGGCGTTTTGGCGTGGGGCTCTGGGCCCGGTGGGCAAAGGGGAAACCGAAGCGCGTCTTCGGTTCCCAGCCATCCCCTTAGGTTTTGTTTAGCTTGTTGGTGTTCAGAGGGTTCCATCTAACCCACGAAAAATTAAACTTTGATCGGGGATCTCAGGACAGCTTGGCTTAGACGCGTGTTTTGAAATATCCTGCCACCAATTGGGGCACAGTCCCTTTAAATGGTGAACATAGTCCAAACCAGGACCATTTCCCCGAACGTCAGGTTCCATGTTCATTAATGGGAGGGTATCTCAAGTGGAGAAATGCACTTGCCCTCTCCAGAATATGCTGATCAACGGAGTAGTGGTTGGAATTCCCGGCCTATCGAAAGGAGTCGCCATTTTCCAAAACCAGACCCAGTGCAAGGGTGTATTCCCAGCCAACTTTCCAAGGTGTTGGACTTGGTCAGGTCCGTAGCCCCGAGGGCTTCAGTGGTTTCCGCTTTCAACCGGCCATAGGAGGTGGTTGCTCATCATTATTTGGACCAAGTCAAGACAAACAATAAACACAAAGCAGTACACATTACTTCTACTTGGACACCAAAGGTACAATCCATGCCAACCTGATTGGGTCCACTAATTTGCTTATTTTATAAAACGAGCTCACCATGATAAAGGTCGTTTATCGGGTTGGTCCCGCAATTCAGCTTCTGTTTCTTTGTATAATTTGCAGATTAATGTGGGGCTCCTTTTTTGCACCCTCCAAACTCTGTTTAATGATATACCCGTTCTTTTTTAAACCCCCAAGCCCTGTTTGGGATCCCTACAGGAACCTTGTTTTTTCTAACCCTCAGGAATCCTTTCTTCTTGCCAACCCTCAACTTGCTTTGTTTCTCCCTCTGCCTTGTGTCTTTCGCTACCGACCTTGCTTTTTCACCCACGAGCCGGCTTTTTTTCCACCCCGGACCTTGTTTTGTCACGCTCGGCCCAGGCTAAACCGAACCCTCAACCAACCCCAAGCAACCAAAAACCGCTCCTACACCAGCCCGAACCCCAACCCAAACCACTCCCAGGCCCGCCCAAAGCCAACCCAGCCGAATCCAACCACAGCCAAACGAAGGCATCCTACCAACCCCAAACCAACCCAAGGACCCTAAATCACACTGAACCAACCCTAAACAAACCATACACCCTTGACCATCCCCAAACCAACTCAAAACCGCTCCTATACCAACCCTAAACCCACCCTGCACCCCTACTCAAACCCACCCTAAACCAGCCCTGAATGCAGCCTAATCCAACCTAAACAACCTTAAACCAACACTAAGCGAACCTCAATCCAATCCTGCTCCCGAAATCAATTCTAAAACATTTCACATCTTAAACCGACCCTAAGCCAACACTAAACCCACCCTAAACCCTTCCTACACCCTTCCTATAGAAGCTTTAAACCCACCCTAACCCAACCTCAACCCAGCCTTAAACCAACACTAAAACCACCCTAAACCTGTTCCCACCCTAAACTAACCTGTTCCAACCGACCCAAAACCAACCCTAAACCAACCCTAAACCAACCCTAAACCAACCCTAAACCAACCCTAAACCAACCCTAACCCAAGTCAATCCCACAAGCTGGTTTGTGCAGCTTTTGGCTGGTTTTGCGCGTTTCCGTGGCTTTTTGGTCCGAGACCCAAATCCAAGCCTTATCCCACCCATCCTAAACCCACCCTTAACCACCCATAAAGCCACCCGCACCCTGTATGCTTGTTTGTGTGTGTATGTGTGTGTGTTCGCATAACCAACCCTAAGCCAACCATAAGCCCGCCCTTCTCATCTGAAACCAACCCGAAACCCATCACAAACAAACCCTGCACTCAACCAATCGGAAACCAACCCTAAACCAACTACCCTAAATCCGACCTAAACCCACCCTATACCCACCCTGAACCAACCCTACACGAAGCCAAGCCCGCTCTAAACCAATCCTATCTCATTGCAGTTGCCGTAGGCTTTGCTCACAGGCTTAAGGAGAAGCACAAGTCTGCCTTCCGTTTGGTTTCCCTTTGCTTTTCATGTGCGCAGGAGTTAGGCCACTTCGGCAAATGCACACGCCTGCCCGGAGTTCGGCCCGGTGAAGCAGTTGGCCTTCGGGCCCCCGGGTCCCCGCCCCTCACCCGGCAGCTCGAAGGACCCGAAGAGCCGGAAGGCTGGGAGCAGCAGCCGCCAGTGTGCACGGGGCCAAATGCGTCGAGCTGGCCCAGAAAAAGCTGGCTGCGTTTTGGGGTGGAAGTTCCGGTTGCCGCTTGCAGTTGGGCCATTTGGGCGTGCCACCTGCGCAAACATTTGTTTGAGGCGCGGCAAGTAACAGAAATGAGGGTCCAACTCCTTGTTTTGTCTTTCTCTACGATCTCTTTCTTCCCACGCCCAGTAGGGCAAGACGTAAGTTTGGACCCTGACACTACGCAACCCCGCAGGCAGACGGCTGCCTCGATGCGCGCGAGCGCGCTTCGCGTCTGAGGCCAGAGGTATTGCCACGTGTACAGAGAGGGCGAGCTCGAGGAGTTGCCCGGGCGCCAAATTCCGGAGATCTTGGGTTATTTCTGGGACATGAGGCATGTGTTGTTTCTTTTTCTGTTTGGAACCCACAAATTTGGTTGGAAAGGGAAAGCCAAAGGAACCCCTTGCCATTTTGGGGGGGTTCCCTTAGTTTTGAGACACCCCCATTTACCCATTTGTTCGTCGTTTTTTCTTTTGTCCAATG